TGCCCTTTAGCTCAGGCGCCAGGCACCTGAGTTCCAGCCAGGCACCAGGACAAACAGGAATATCCAGGCCCATCCAGAAGTGTCGATTGCAAAGAAGCCACAAGAATGCACCTATTTTCTTTATCTTAAACTTCAGTAAAACTTCCTGGTAAGTTACTGTATAAAATAAACCTGCTGTATCTGCTCTGGGTCCCTGTTTCTCCATCAGAGGGCAGCTGACCCACCCTGTCCCAGCTTTCTCTACTGTCTTTGTGTCTGTCTCTTTCATTTTCCCAATCCCCTGTAACCCCTACTCAGGACTCCTGTCTGCTCTCTAGTTGTGCTGGTCGCATAAAAGAGAAATATTTATAGACTGGCATCATGTGCCTGCAGAGAGAGGCAAAGCTTTATTGAGGATGGGTGCAGTGGGCAAGGTCTGGGTCACTCACCCTGGCAGGTGGGAGAGGAAGGGCGAGGTGTCGGTTGGGGTCTCCAAGTTTAAGGTTCCTGATGGGCCAGGGGCAGGCCCAGGGCGAGCTCCACCTTTGTGTGGGGGCCTCGTGTGTCCTTCCTGGGGGGCCCGGGACCTGCTCAGAGAGAGTCGCTCTGGGCCGCTGGCCGCCCTACATGGGTCACATTTTCATCTCGGACACCTTGACACAGGGCCAGGACCCCTCCCAGATGCTCTCCACTGCCCATACCCACTGCCCACCCCCAGTGCCCACAGTACTGCCGACACTCACCAGCGGTGCCCCCAGCAAAGGCGCCCAGGACCAGCTTGTACTTCTCGGCCTCGCTCCCCACCCTGAACGACTGGTACTTGGCAAAGTGGCGGGTGTCCTGGAAGTCCACCAGGTCCACACGGAGCTCGTTGGTGCCTGCAGTGGGCAGGGTGTCAGTTCCGGGAGCAGGGACCCTGAGCTGCCAGGACGTGGGTGACGTTCAGGGGACCTGCACTGGACACACAGGTCGACCCTGGAGGCCCCCCAGAAAGTCTGGGTCGCTGAGGGGTGGGGGGACGTGCTCCCAGGGTCTGAGCCAAACCCCCAGCCCTCTCTCCAGCCCCAGAGAGAAGGTCCCTTGGAGTTCTGGGGAGGGCGGGGTGGGGTTGCGGCAGCCTTGAGGGAAGCAGCCCTCTCCCATGTGTGTTCAGGGACGGAGCAAGGTGGATGGTGAGGGGAGGGCTGGGCGCTGGGCTGAAACCCGGTGAGGGCCTCCGTGTCCCTCCTCTGAGATGCCGGCGGCCATGATTGGAGGAGGTCTGCCCCCCAAACCCACTTCCTCTGGTCCTGACGCCCGCCCGCCCCCCAGCCCCCCAGCTGGGAACTTCCTGTCCTCAGAGGTAGCACGTGTGGGGGCCCAGGAGCGGGCTCCATCCAGGTGGCTCAGGTCGGAGGTCGGGGCAGGTGGGTTTGGGGTGGGCAGCAGGGCTCCCAGCCTCTGGCGAAGCTCCAGGAATCTGTCATCGGCTGCCCCCCCCACACATGGCTCATCAGCCACCATGACAAGGACAACGAATTAAAGGGCTCATGGTGGCTGAGGTGTCGGTGGGGGGCAGGGCTGGCTCCGCGCCCGGAGGGGGCTTCAGGCCCCTGACGAGGACGCGGGTCCATCCCCTCCCAGGCCCCTCCTCTTCAGAAAGGCCGGGTTTGGGAGGTGATGTTGACCAGCAGCGCCACACGCAGGGCCACGGCTCACCACACGCTGGTTCTGGCCGAGGCCGGGGTCTGATGCCGCTCGTTAGGTCGTGACCCCAACACCAGCCCCTTCTGATCCCCGTCTTCTCCCCTGAAGGCTTCGCACTGGGTTCTGTTTCTTTTGTTCAGTCCTCACGGGAGGACATTTCCCCATTAATCTTTAGGCAGCGGTTCTCAACCTTCTGGCCCTTTAAATACAGTTCCTCATGTTGTGACCCAACCATAACATTATTTTCGTGGCTACTTCATAACTGTCATGTTGCTACTGGTATGAATCGTCATGTAAATATCTGATATGCAGGATGTATTTTCATTGTTACAAATTG